TCCCCCCCCCCATCGTCACTTCCCTTCCTCTGAATGACCTGCCCTGTAGGTTACAGTCCTTGGCCACATCACTCCTCTCATCTTCGGCCCTGAGCTCGTCCAACCCGACTTCTTCTCTTCTATCGAGCCAGTAAGAGCTCCTATCCTTCTCCAGTATCTCTCCTCACTGTGATTGTCAGGTGCTCTTCACCAGCACTCTCATCTCGCAGTCGACTGCCATCCAAGGCTCCCCCAACAACGTCTCCCTCCTCCTCAAGACCAACGGCATCCTTCCCCCGGGCACGAGGATCACCGTCCAGGGGCTCGTGGGCTCCTTGACGCCAGACGGCATCCTCTCGGTCAGCGGAAGCTCTGCCTCCCTCGTCGGCTCTCGATGCGAGTGGTACAACAGAGGAGATGTCATCTTCACCCTCGTCCGCTCCTGGGAGTCCCCAGCTGAGCTGAGCGTCACCCTCACCCTGCAGAACCCCAGCAGGACCCAGCAGGCGGCAGTTCCATACGTCAGCGCCACCTCCCTCTACTTCGAGGTGGGAAGGAGTCTGGTAGGAGGGAAGGTTCTGTATGTGGAGCTTGACAAGCCTGACTTCTTCTTCCTCCTCCCGTTGGACTTCTCGAGGGACTTTGTGCTCAACCTCACGCTGCAGTTCAGCAGACCGTCCAAGGCAGTTTGCGTCTACCAGCTGGCCTCTGCTGTCCCTCCGACCCTCGAGTCTCTCAAGGGGACTGGAGCTCCCGTCATCGACTATCGATACGCCAAGAACACGTTGAAGGCCGGCATCAGCAACGCTCCTCGTCTTGCCGACGGGAACATCAGCTCGTACATCCTGCTGGGCCCTCTGCCGGCAGCGGCCAACCTGACGGTCTACTGCTACGCCGAAGACTTCGCTGAGATCCCCAACTCCTTGGACCTTCGTGACGTGATCGCGCACAGGCTGAACTTCATCGTCCCCTCCTACTATCAACCTTCGACGGGGGCTCGAACACGAGAGCATGCCTGGATCTTGACGCTTGCCAGTATTTGCTGTCTACTTCTCTTGCAGGGAGGGCTCCGCAAGGACAGCATGTAGTGTATGTTCTTATTCTTTTGTACTCATAGAAACACTCAGCACTTGTTCAACTCTCAGAGTCACACGCAGCTGCCATCGGCCGCGGGTTCTTCACCCGGACCGTTCGACTGTCGGACTCGTTGGGCCCACCCTCCCGGAGTCCACTGAACACTGAGTCTCCCGGGTGACCCGTCAACTTTGTAGTCAACTACCCCCCCTTCATACCACTGTAAGTACCCCTCCAGGGCAGAAGTCAACTTTGATGAGTGAACGGAAGGGACCCTAGACAAGGGCGGGGACGAGGGGGGCATACGAGGGTGAGTGTAGTGGGTGGGTGGTTGATTGATTCAAATGGGGAATTAAAGGGGGTAGTAGGTGAGGAATGAAGGGGTCAAGGTCCCTAGGGGGTGGGGTCAGTCGTCAAACAATTTCAACTGACATGCAGTGAATCCTGGTAGGCATTGACGTGAGGCGCCCGGCGCATGTGGGCGAGAGAGGGTAGGAGATGAGATGAGATGAGATGAGATGAGATGAGATGAGATGAGATGAGATGAGATGAGAGATGAGATGAGATGAGATGAGATGAGATGAGATGAGATGAGATGAGACGAGATGAGATGAGATGAGATGAGATGAGATGAGATGAGATGAGATGAGATGAGATGAAGCGAGAGGAGAGCAGAGAGAGAGTGGTAGACGAGAGGACAGGGGGTGAATGTAGACTAGATGAGATGAAGAAAACCAGAGGACATGAGAGGGGAAGGCAGTTCAGTGCGATGAAAACATCATTCACATACATTTCAAGTCTCTTGTTTTACTTTCAAAGCGTCTATTTATTTTGCTGATTATTTCAGGACACCAGAACGAGAGAGTCAGGATGATCTGATATGAGATCAAGTGTTCAGTAAATAAGAACTCCCTGAAGAAAGGCAAACAGGGGCTCCAAAGATGTCGTCGCAATCCCTCGACAAACAAGGTTTCAGGAAAAGCGGGTTGAAGACAATAGCAGAGAAAAATTTCACACCTCCAGCAAGGGGCATCCAATCGACCATTGCTGCTTCCCATGCTGCACAGAGGAACTTCTCTACGAGCAAGCTCGTGGGCAGGGAGCGGAGGAGCGACAGGTTGAGAGCTGGGCTGAGGGGAGAGCCAGCCAGCATGGAGTCAGACGGCACATTCTTGACATCTGTCGACGTTCACTTCCATCACCTTCCAGTCGTTGACGGCATGATCGTGTCAATGTCGGAGGATTTGAAGCAGCGGCTGGAGGCCATGGCGCAACTGATCGGGCTGGACGGGATGAAGATGCTTTCTGCCGCCGTGCATGCGGAGATGACGCAAGTTTGCCGTATCTCTAGGGCAGCAGAGCGAAGTGAAATGAAGAAGATGAATGAAGCTCAAGATTTCAAGGACGTCATGGGAGATCTCGAGCGAGAAACCAAGAAGAATGCTGAAAACAAGGTGAGCTTGACGTTGCGGCAGCGGATTTCAGGAGGTTGATACCTTCAATGGGCAGGACATGATCAAGTCGTTGGAGGAGGAGAAGAAAAGTCTCGACGGCGAGAACACGCAGCTCCGAGTACACTTGGAGCGGATGAAGGAAGTAGAACAGCAGCAGTCGCACCTGCTGCAGGCGAAGGAATCGGAGGTGAAGGAGCTCAAGCAGGAGGTAGAGAGGTATCGCAGGGAGATGGAGGAGTTGTTGGATGAGAAGTCGACGTTGGAGGACAAGGTGAGAAGGAAAGAGGTAGAAATCCTGCAAGCCAAGAAGTCGCTGGACGCCTGCAGCTCTGAGCTGAGAAAGATGATCACTGAGAGGGACGCCCTCTACTCCGAGGGGGTGGAGCTGAAGGCTCAGCTGCGCCGGGAGTGCTCGGCGAGAGGAGAGTTGGAGGAGGAGTGCGAGAGGCTGAAGACGGAGCGGCGGGTTGCGAAGCGAAACTTTGCGCATCAGATGCCTGAAGAGTTCAGGAGAGTTTGCGGCAGGGTAGAGGAGCTGGAGAGGGCCAACAGGCAGCTGAAGGAGAAGGTGGAGAAGCTTGAGGGGGGAGGAGACAGCGAAGAGGCGGCGAGCCTGAAGGACTTGGTGAAGCAGCTACATGATGTCATGTTGGAGAACAAGGTGTTGAACGACAGGATGGACAAGTTGCGTGCAGAGAAGGAGAACGTGGAGAAGAAGCTCGAAGTAGAAAACCGCCTGCTGGCCAACCGAGGGAAAGCGCTCCTGCAGAAGAATGCAGAGTACTCCCAGAGGCTGGAGGGAGAAGCCAGCCAATTGATGTCGGAGAAGATGACCAAGAAGTCGTTCGAGAAGGAGATCGTCAGCTTGAAGAAGAGGAACGTTGAGCTCATGGGCCAGCTGAACAAGCTCGAAGAGTCCAAGATGATTGCAGAGAAGGCAGCACAAGATGCTAACAGTCGAGCGCGATCTCTACAGGAGAAAGTCGACATGCTTTCCTCGCTTCAAAAGGTGCAATATCCCTCCTCCTCCCCCTGGGATCGTTTCTTCCCTTGCTACCTCCCTCCCTACATCTCCCTCGCTTTCTCCTTCCATTCCCTTTTCTCTCTTCCCCCTCCCGTACCCCTCTCCCTCTCTCTCCCTCGCTTCCACCTCCTTCCCAGTATCTGGACGCTGGTCGATGATAGTCGCTTGCTCTCCCTTCTTTCCTCCCAATCAGTTGCGTCTTCCGCTTTGTCTCCCCTCCGATGTCCAACCCTTCCCTCCTGCCTTCTGCTCTTCCTCAAAGTTCACTTTCAGGTCAACATGGGAAAGTTTCAATTCCGAGAGGACGTCAGGACGGAGGAAGCAATCGACAGTCTTTTCTCCCTCTCACGAGCCTCCTCCTTCCGTCCCTCCTCCTCCCTACGACCTCCCTCTGCATCCCTCCGCCCCCCCTCCGCCTCCTTCCGCCCTCCCTCTGCCCTGCGTCCTCCGGCCTCTCCCACTTTCCATGCTCCCTCCTCTCGTCCAGTCTCTGCCGTCACAACTGCCTCCATCGCCTCCTCCCGCGCGACGGCACCCCATGCTTCTCGTCCTGCATCGGCCTCGCAGTTCTCCTCCAAGCCGGGCAAGCGCGCCCCTTCTCGTCCAGCGTCTGCCAACCAGAGAGACTTGTGGGATGGAGGGATGGGGCTGCGAGATGCGGAAGAGGAGGAGGAGGAGGAGGAGGAGATACTGCCACAAGGAACGTCGAGCAAGGAGGTTGAGAGACTTTTGTCAAGCATAGCAAAGCTGCAGAGGCGACTTGAGGAGGAAGAGGCAGCTCGGGTGGCGGCGCAGGAGAAGATGCTGATGCTGTCTGAGAGGCTGGAGGAGGAGGAGCGAGAGAAGAGCGAAGGGAGCAGCAAAGGGAAGAGGAAGCTGAAGATGATCAAGAGGAATAGCTCGCAGGAGAAGTTGAGGGAAGTCGAAGCACAAAACCTGATCCTGTTCAACAAACTGAGGTGATGAAGACGACGATGTTGATGATCACGATGATGTATACGATGGAGATAGTATTCTTGTATTTGTTCGTGATGGAGGTGATTACGATGAAGATGTTGTTGTTGTTGGTGGCGGCGGTGGTGGTGGTGATGATGATGGTTGATGGTTATGATTGCAGTGATGATGATGATCGTGGTGATGGTGATTATTGTTCGAACTTGTGACATGACTCCTGCTGTTAAAGGGAGATAGAGGACAGCAGTCACCAACTATCACGAACGTTGAGGACAAAAGAAGAAGAACTGGAGGCAACCAACAAGAAACTTTCAAACTTCGCTCACAAACTCGAGGTCCCGTCCTCTTTCTACCATCATCTTCTCTATCATGACAATCGTCCTTCCAGATCGTTGAGGAGCAGAAAGCCATGTGCGAGCAAGAGCTGATTCATCTCAAGTCAAGCTCCCAGCCTACATGATCTATTCTGCTCATTGTTGTCAACTTCCCCCCCTTCCCGCAGCTCCTTGTCCTTGCTCCTCTCCTTCCCATCCCCCTCCTCCTCCTTTCTCCTCTTCCCGCCTCTCTGTCCTCTCCATCAACATAGCTCAATTCATCCTTTCTTGATCTCAACCATCATGGTTAGCAACTATCTTCTCATTCCTGTAAGAATTTGTAGAATACATCCTTCTGACCCTTCTTCTACTCCCTCCGCTCTCCCGCACTCGCTCACTCGTCGATATGATCATCCGCTCCTAATAGCATCTCCTTCCAGCCGGTGGTAGAGCCACTCCAGCCCGTCCAGCACTCCATGCCCTGTCCATGCCGATGCTGCCACCTGCTCAGTCCAGAACCAGATGAACAGGCAAGGGAGGGGGCGGAGGAGTGGAGAGAGAGGAAGAGCGAGGAAGGAGGGATACAGAGATGGCGAAGGGAAGATGGAAAGAGAGGAGAGGAGGAGAGGGAGAAGGAGCGAGAGCCAGCGTGCGAGAGCGGGGAGGAAAGAGAGGGAGAGGGAGGAAGGAGAGGAAAGGAAAGGGGGGGGGAGGAGAGGAGGGGGGGAGAGCGAGAAGGAGCGAGAGCGAGAGCGAGAGCGAGAGCGAGAGCGAGAGCGAGAGCGGGGAGGAAAGGGAGGGAGAGGAGAGGGAGAGGGAGGAAAGGAAAGAGGAGGAGAGGAGGAGAGGAGGGGGAGAGGAGGCCAAGAAGGGATCAGCGAACCTGCTTGGAGCTGAACAAGTCGAGGTACCCGCACATGAGGGTCGAATAGACTGACAGGACTGAAAGGACGAGAATGGAAAGACAAAAAGACGAAGATAATAAGAAGAAAGAAGCGTCAATTAACAAGTGACAGCGTGGAACAGGAAGGAGTGCCAAGAGGGAGGAACGCAGAGGAGGAAGGCAGAGGAGGAAGGCAGAGGAAGAAGGCAGAGGAGGGACGGAGAGGAGGAACGGAGAGGAGGAACGGAGTACCAGGGAGAAAGGGAGCAAAAAGGGGAGCAGCATGAGAACATGGAAATGGAGAGAGTGGTGTGAGTCAGGGGATGAGCAAGAGGAGCAGGAGGAACAGAAGGAGCAGAAGAAGCAGGAGAAGCAGGAGGAGCAGCAGGAACAGAAGAAGCAGAAGAAGCAGGAGAAGCAGGAGGAACAGAAGAAGCAGAAGAAGCAGGAGAAGCAGGAGGAACAGAAGAAGCAGAAGAAGCAGGAGAAGCAGGAGGAACAGAAGAAGCAGCAGGAGCAGAAGAAGCAGAAGAAGCAAGAGGAGCAAGTTTCAGGCTCCGCATCACCTTTGCCCTGACTCGAGGCTCAACATCCTTGCGTCCGGAACCCTTTCGAGCTCTAGGCCAGAAAAAATCTACACACGAGTTACCGTAGATGAGGTGAGAGGGAACGATGAAATGGATGGCAGCGTGGTGGTGGTAGTGGAGGAGGAGGAGGAGGAGGAGGAGGAGGAGGAGGAGAGGGAGGAGGAGGAGGAGGAGGAGGAGGAGGGAGGAGGAGGAGAAGATGAGGAGGAGGTTGCGAGTGGGCGGTGGTGATAATGGTGAAAGGAGATTCTAGGAAGAGGACCCGAAAGAGAGGGTAGGGCAAAACAAGTTGTGTTGGCAGAACGAGCAGAAGGAGGAGGCGAGGGCGTGGAGGAGGTGAAGGAGAGGGAGAGGAAGCGAGCGGTAGGAGGACGAGCAGAGGGCGAGGAGGAGTAGAGGAGGAAGGAAGAGGAAGCTTGTGTAAGGAGGAGGGGAGGAGGAGAAAGAGGGGAGAGAGGGGGAGGAGCGACTGACGTGGGAGGGAGCTTGAACTCGAAGAAGTTTGCCATGG